TCACCCACTTTCAACTCGAGAACCAGAAAAGCTAGAAGGCTGAAACTTTGGGAGTATGTGCCCATAACATGCGCGACCCTCCCGTTTTGACATCATCCTCTGCGGACACCTGGTGTTGCGCACGGACGCTATTTGAAAAAATATGCAAATTTATTGGCATAAAAGCGATATCAGGAATCAGACAAGGTACGTTCCAGCCTGAGTTTTTGAGTGTTTTGTATGTGGTTTTGGAATTTGAATGTGTATTTGTAATTGAAATTTAAATACGAAAATCTGAGTTTGTATGAGTGAGTTTTTTAGTCCGAAGTTGTTGAAATGGAGCCATTCGTGATCGAGTTGCCAGTCGAATCACTGGCTGATCTCCATTATTTCCATGAGAAGCTGCAGAAACATGCAGGCGTGAAGCATCTGCGAATGCGTCGGCTTCCACAGTTCAAGAGAGGTAAGGATGCGAAAGTTCCATAACCGTTCGTGTGTGCATTGCGCCACTTGCATTATTTCAGAGGAGTTGTCTTCGATGGAAGGTATCGTTCCTTTTCGCTAGAGTTGTTACAGCTCAAACGGACCTCCTTTGCAAATAGATGGTATGGATCAGGGTGATGAGAATGGAGTTTAAGATTCAATCCTTTGGTGATTCAGATATCCTAACTACACTTTATTCGCGCCATTTCAAAAGAGAAATATAACCACTAGCGTACTGACTAGAATCATAAATCAACCAATGACAACCAGAAAAAACAACCAGAAAAAAAAACAAAAACTCTTTGCCTCCAAAAGCTTGCTTTTAAGTCCTGCCGTGGCCCCATCCTCATTTATTAAGGGTCTTACACGTACATCTCTAGAAAAAGAACATCTGGAATACTTTTGCACGCTTACAGACTTCATTTAAACGCATCCCATAAATTATCGTCATGACATCGGTTATTTCAAAGAAAAGTACATGTGGCACATATGGAGACGTTTTGACCTAGACCATTCTCGGTCATAAATAAAATATTGTAAAAGCCCAGCTTTCGCGACACAGGGAGTTCATTTTTACCATTTCCCGACTACCACCAGCTTATTCCGCTCGAGCCCTGCCACATGTGTAGTGACATTTCCTGGATGCTTTTTCTTGACTCAGCCTTACCTCATCCGCGGAAACTGGTCCGAACTGGTTCATGAACTGGTCCGCTCGTGAGGTTTGAGAAAGAGTGTACGCAGTAGAACTTCCTGCAGCTACATCTCT